TGAATTGTTGATTTTTGTTTTTTTGCTCTATCAAGGTTTTTATTTCTCTCTCATATTCATATTCGTTCGCAGTGACAGTGTTTATTATGGCTCCGGTTTATCGCTATCAAAGAGTGAGTAAAAAGTTGGTGTTTTTCTTCGTTCTTTCTGCACAGCAAAAGCAACTTCGTGAATCATCTCTGTATCGGTCCAGATAGTGAAAGTTACCTGAATTAAACCTATCAAATTGATAATTAAGTTCGTTAGTATCTTCCTTTCACAATGAAAACAATGGAATTCACTGAACGACAAAAAAGTGAACTGAAGAATCTAACCAAAGAAATAACAAAACACTTTTTCGGGTAAACAAATACTTCTATATGAACACTGATTTATACAGAAGATACTTTTCTCTACTCAGTTTGCATTTCAAACATTCGTTGTGGAATAAAAATCAGATATCATTCACATGAGTTCTACTCTAAATGAATGGTAACAAATTGCACTTGCTTTCATCATCATTGGTATACATCGATGTTTCGCCTTAAGACACTTGCCCTAAGGCTCTTCAGTACCAAATTGGATAACATTATAGAAAATACACACAATTCATTCATGAATTACGATTTTCAATATCACGGAATAAGCTTGATCTGCTTATGTCATCGATGACATCGTAATGACATGTATAGAGTTACTCATTTTCAAATTGATTACTTTCTTCCTTCCTTTGGAAGATTCCCTCATCCTTTTTTTGTATCGAGATGGAGTAGTAGAAAGCCAAAAACTTTTTTTCCCAAAAAACAATTTTGAGGTTATGGAGGATAAGGAAAAAAATGCATTTGGTAAGTAGTTTTTTGTAAGTCATGTTTCATTCGTCCTAATGTCTTGTTTACAATCCACGGCTTATTAAACGAAATAAATATTAATAGAATATTACATATAGTTATAGCATTTTAAACAACAAGCTGAAAATGTATCCAACAATCTCACCAAATTGATACTTATCACACCTTTTCATTACTCATATCTTACTCATTTGCCAGGAAACTGCCCTGATATGTGTTACAAAATATTAACTTAATATTTTTCGAACATTGTTAGCTAGTGCTGTTGAATCTCTTGGCACATCTTCCAAGCCACTTGTTGTATGTTCTGGTAAATAACCATCCCGGTCACGAACAAAATTTTGCAGAACAATGTACAATTTTATTATGTCAATCCGGTTCAGTGTTTTTAGGCCTGTGGAAGATGCGCCATTTGTTGGTCAATATCCCAAAAGCACACTAGACATAAGGCCGAGCCCTACACAAACGATAGTTAAATATTCTCTTTTCAAGCGTTAGGTGTGTTCCACCGTGTGTGTGAAGTCCAAATGCTTCATCTCCAACAATATAGTAGGAAACTTCAGGAGATTCTGTCCTCGGCAGGTATTTTTCTTCAGGTAATGGCAATGAGTTAGTCAGTATTGATTGCCAATGAGTAGATTACTTGAAAATGAAGGGATCACAATGATTGCCAAATCTTCCAACATTAACATATCCAAAACGATATTTTGAATCAGCTCCTGCCATTAATACTACAGAGTAGTGGTCTTTGTAATTAAAAAACATGGAACCACTTCTTATCGGGCAATTTATACGAACATGCTTGCCATCAACAGCACCTATGCAATATGGAAAATTGGCAGTTTTTTCAAAATCAGATGCAATGGTTTCAAGATAATCTTTAGAGAGTTCACGTATACACTCATTTTTCATTACTAACCAGATGGCTTGACATACTTCTTCTACTATTTTCCTTGCAGTAGAAATCCCAACTCTGAAGGAGTGATGTAGGTCAGTAAAGGTGTACCCACTAGCAAGATATCTGGAAAAAAATGGTTCAGTATCACTATCATGCTTTATGAAGAGGTTTAAAATTTAACGCTAATTAGAACTAAAATTAAAAATTTTATTTTTTATTAAAACACTAATTAGAAATAATTGTTTCAGCAAAATAAGTAACAAAGAGATGGGCAATCTTCGGGATGCGTTCTCAAAGTCGAAGAGGAAGCTAAAAGAGTGTAAGATAAGTGGAGCTGGTGCCCGTAACATCAAAAAGTATTACTACGCTGACCAAATGCAAATTTTAAATAAATTATTCCAGACGAGGGAATTTGCAGAAAGTTTAGAAGGTAGAACGGACAACAATGAAGACGAAGATGTTGATACTTCACCCGAAGCCCCACTACCCACAAAGGAGACTATCCATGAGATCCCCACACTGCGAGAACACAAAAGACGTCGCCAGCCTGATGAAGTTGAGCTGAAAATGATAAAAGCATTGAAAGAACCACCACTCAGTTCTCATATTTCTTTCTTTCAAGGGCTTTTGCCACATTTGAACAATTTTGACGACAGTGAAATTCTTGAATTCCAAATGGGTGTTTTGGAAGTTATTTCTAAAATAAAGAACAAACGTAAAAACACTACTCAACCTCGACCCCTTCCATCGCAAACACCTTCCTACTATCCTAACAACAATCCCTTCCCTCAGCATCAATCATTTTCCACTAATGTCTTATTCAAATCAATTCAGCGCAATTAACAGCTTCCAACCACAACAGTCCCAAACCCAGCCCCCAAATCGCCAAACCCACCAATTCAATAAAATTAAATTAATTTTGAAAAAATAACTTGTGTGTTTATTTGTTCTCTATACTTTCTTGAATGGTACCTCAAGTGATTTCAACCATTAAAAAAAATTATCTAAGAACAATTCGTTCAGGCCAGTCTCAACTCCCTACACAGTAGGTTAATGGACTGACACCTATCAGAAAACAACTACTCCCCTGCCTAATACCACAAAGGGCGTTAGATTATATTCGACAGGTGTCAGTGCAGGATTCTTCACAGAAGTTATTCCTGCATATGTTGTTGGCGATACAACTGCTGCAATAGATTTTCAATCACACACTTGCAGACCGGTTTCGGGCTCTTTGGCCACTCGTCAGTGCAAGGTAGTGGATATCATCAACTTAAAGTCGACGATTTCCGATAATTGAAAATCGAATTCCGTCAGAGTATCATTCCTCGAACTAAGCTGAAGCATAACAACAGGTTTGTCGTCACCCCATCTGCCCGTGAACGAGGTAACCAACTGCATATTCGAAATTTGCCCAATTCCTCTTATTAGGAAAGAAAACTTTCACATATAGTCAGTGGGCATACTTGAAGACTGGCTATAAATCAAATTATCTAAGAACAATTCGTTCAGGCCAGTGTCAACTCCCTACACAGTAGGTTAATGGACTGACACCTATCAGAAAACAACTACTCCCCTGGCTAATACCACAAAGGGCGTTGGATTATATCCGACAGGTGTCAGCGCAGGATTCTTCACAGAAGTGAATATGATGTTGGCGATATAACTGCCGCAATTGATTTTCAATTATTGGAACACACTTGCAGTCCGGTTTCGGGCTGTTTGGCCATTCGTCAGTGCAAGGTATTGTATATCATCAACTTAAAGTCGATGATTTCCGATAATTGAAAATCGAATTCCGTCAGAGTATCATTCCTCGAACTAAGCTGAAGCATACAACAACAACAGGTTTGTCGTCGCCCCATCTGCCTGTGAACGAGGTAACCAACTGCATATCCGAAATTTGCCCAATTCCTCGTATAAGGAATCGGACAAATCGGTGCTTACCGGTGATGCTTACCAGTGATCAGTGTCGATCGATGCCAGGTCCCGTTCCCACATGTGGTTCACTATTGGAATTTGGATGACCGGTATAAAATCAGCCGTCCACAATCGGTGTGTGTGCAATTTGCCTTAGGTTTCGTTCCCACTGGAGCTATAGTGCACACTCGAGCGATACGATAGCTCATATGATAAGCAACGGAGCAGTTTTTTTTTCATCAGTTGTCATGAGCTCCTCAGAGGAGGACGTTGTTTTTGCTTACCGGTACTCGCAAAAGAGGAAATGGGAATCTAGAAAATATTGGGTACACCCATATAATGTTTAATATTAAACACAGTTCGGCAGTGGTTTTCTGTGAACTCTCTCAACAAGAACAGAAATTTACAGAGTTTCATAGAATGATCTCAAATAGTTATCATGTTTCATTGAGATTGGTGTCAAGAGGACTGGAGAAGCACAGATTCTGATCTACCAATTTCACGAAGGAAATAGAGGATTGCACGTCATTTGGCCGACCCGACATGAACGTATCGAACGATATTGCGCCTTTCTTTCGCTCAAGCGACTCAGCAGCTCTGTCACCGACGTGACTCCGATAATTATCGGTGTATTATCGTGATCGCTCCATATTGCACTAGGTTAGTTGCTTCCATTATATATATGCACGATTATGAGTGATCGCTGTCAAATCAGGAATGGATTGCTTATCGAATCACGTGTTGCATCGCTTATCGTATCGTTCCAGTGGGAACCGCGCGTTAAACGATATAAGATATGCGATACGAATTGACAGAATACTTAAAATCTAAAGGCAGGCGATAAGAACGGTTCACAGTCACGGCGATTGCACAACATATCGCAAGTCACATAACTCAAAATTACTTACTTACCGGTCGCAACGCGATGACATTTCCCGTTCTCAACACACTTGTATCACTCGACTCGCGGCGATTTCTCTCCAACTGATATGAACTTTCTTAGCGATATTACATTCCGATATATCGAAAGTAAGATTGAACGGGTGTGAACAACGCCTTAGGCCTAAGTTAAGGTCGTGTTCTGCGAGTAGTAATTGTAACAGTATGTGAATGTTCAAGAAATGGGGTTAATGTTCAAATTTCGCAGGCTACGTACATTTGATTAGCGATTATTTTTGTTTCTGGTACACTCGTCTCGTTCATATGTTCACAGTTTTAGCTGTTTAGCGTGTTTAGTTTGTTGGTGAGAGGCATAAAAGTTAGAAGTGTTTTGCGAGTTCGGCAACTTTCTGTTATCGAAAAAAATTGATCAAAGAATTTGCATTAAATTTTTTGTAAAAAAATGTAAATAAGTGCTCAAAAACCTATGAAATGTTTATAGTGGCATACGGTGATTATACTCTGAGTCAGAAAGGTCTAGAAAATGTGAATGACGACTAGGGAATGCAATCTCATTCTCGCAAGATCTCGTTTTCGCGAGATTTCGGCTTTTTTCAGGGGGATTAATCTCGGCCGAAAAATGGACGAGATCTCGCGAGTTTAACGAGATTTCACTTATGAAAAAAACTGATGTTGATGAAATCTAAAAATGTGGAAAATGACGATGAGACTTTTTTTGGAGTGGACGAAATATCTAGCACAGGCTCAGACTCAGAAAATAATGTTTTTCATTGCTCTATCCCCAGAATAAAAGTAGACCTAGATGCAGAATATGCGGGTATTATTGAGAAAGTTAGGAAACTGGTGAAACTACTGAAAGTGATACTTTGCAAATACACGTGAAGCAAGAAGTTGGAAAACATATAAAGTTACAACTTGATGTGGAACTCGATGGTCGAGCTAAGCAGACGTGACTTGTACATTCGATAGAATCAAGCAGTGATCGACCTGGGCCTGGAAGCTGATCCGAACTACTATTTGAGTGCGGTTTTAGCGAACTTAGACAAGGTATTTCAAACTGTAAAACTTGCTATGGAGGTGTGTCGTCGAAATACTGACTTGGCTATCGCAGAAACAACACTTATGTTTATGATTCGTGAACTGAAAGAGCTGAAAACTCAATTGGTAGAAAAACTAGCTGGCTCATTGAGAAAGCACATTATTGAGCGTCGGACAAATTTTACAGCATGCTTGTTATATATCAGAGATCCGGCTAAATAGCAAGTAGATAAAAATGAGTTTGCGGAAGACGAAACCTTCAAATTGCCTCCGAAAATGTGGGCTGAACTGAAACTCAATCACTTATAAAACGTTTGCATTCGCAAAAATGTCTGACTAATTCACAGCCACAGACAAATTCAGATGCATCTTGGTCAATTGCATCAACATCAGCTGCAACTATTAATGATATTGATTGATATTTGATGATGACTGTAACGTTAATGTAAGGTACAAAAAACTAACTATGGATTTGGTGAATTCATCAGAAATGAAATGAATTTATACGAGTACGGGGATCAAAAGGCGAACTTTTGCAGATCACAGGTGACTGCCTGAGATCTGTAGGGCCGAATGGGCCTCCTCAGCCAGCAAACAGCAAAATAAGAAGCCGTTCAGCAGGCGATTTTTTGAACTTTGATTGCGTCTTGAGGAGATAATTTCAAAATAATTCTTAATGATGGCGTGTAATGTTAACATCTGTGAAAATCTGTTTGAAACCTGTTTTTCCGTTAACCAGTTGTCGCACCCCTTCGACCGACAACCCTCAGAAGTTGAATCTTGTGCGAGCTAAGAACTAACGAGGTCTTACCTTTAAACATGTGATTCCGAACACGGGTTGGACGATAGCAAGCGACAATCGAGCGTTCAGTCTGGGGCTTGAACCATCGACTCACGCATTGGCCGATTGACTGAGTGAACAAAGCACCCACGTCGAACCGCCCGGCTACCAAGAGAGCAAAGATCGAAAAAAGCACGCCAAGTTCGATCAAATGTTTGTCCCACTCTTTTCTTCGATTACTGTGGCGTAGTGCATCAAGAGTTTTTGCCACATGGTCGTACGCTTAATAGGATTATTTTGAAGTTATGTGCCGCTTTAGAGAAGCAATACGAAGAAAACATCCGGTGTTGCTGAAAAAAATTCATGGCTTTTGCATTGCGATAAAGCACCAGCTCACTCGTCATTGCTTGTTCGCAATTTTTCGACAAAAACAACATCGTAATCATGTCTCAGCCATCGTATTCACCAGATTGGCCCCCCTGTGACTTTTTCCTGTTCCTAAGAAAGAAGAAACCCATGAAAAGATAGCGTTTTGTGATAATTGAGGAGATAAAAACCGAACAGCTCAGAAAGCTCAAGGGCATAGCAAAAAGTGCATATCAGAACTGCTTCGAGGATTGGAAAAAACGCTGGCACACGTTTATTATATCTGAGGGGGGCAACTTTGAAAGGGGCGAAATGAAAATTATTGAATAAATAAGTATTTTTGACAAAAATTATAATTCACCTCATTTTTTCAACAGACAGCGTATATTATTCAACGAGCGAGAAATGTAACCAATACCCGCGAGAATGAATTATGTCGTAAATTGTCAAGCGAGTAATGACCATTTTTGAGGGTAGAATACTATATTTTTTCTGTGACATATCAGGAATATTTCAAAATTGGATTCATTTGTATAGGGTATCTTGAATGAGATTATTATCAATAAATGGCATAACAAAAATCAATCTAAAAAAAACATTCATATACATTTCCCATTTCTGTTATTTGATTCAGTTTAAAATGGTTTGCGAATTGAACGAATGAAAATATCAAAAACTACAGTGAATGTCAACATGTCCCACTATCTTTGGTAAACATGCCTGAAGCTATACCACTTCCCCATAGAAATCCTTACAAATTATCTTGACATAACACAAATTGAGTTTCTAATCACTCTCATTTCGTAACCAAGTAACGAATCTCAATTTTTTTGCCAAAATACAAATGTCTATCGTAAATATTTTTATTCCTGTTTTTCGTTATAAACAACATATTTTGAAACGAACTGTCAGTTC